TAGAAAGCAAAGACGGGCTGAATTGAGATGCAATATTAATTCTCCTATATGGCAGTAAATACTGGACAATTTCCTCACAGATGAAAAGGAGACTTGAGACAACAGAGATGTAATACTACAGAAGGATGCTGAGAATATATTTTATCGACCATTTCATGATGTACCTATTACTATTTAATTAGAAACAAAGAAAAGACTGCTCAACTGGTATGTAATATCAATCTTCTTATATGGAAGTGAATGCTAAACAAATTCCTCACAGATGATAGCAAGCAGCAGAAATGATGTTCTATATTAGGGTGCCAAGAATATCATGGGAGGAGCATGTAAATAACGAGGAAGACTTAAGGAAAAACAGAAACGAAAAGGAAATTTATAACCAGAACCAGAAAGAGACAACTGAAATTCCTTGGACACAATAAAGTGGGCCTAGAGAATTTGGTTTGATTGATTATATGTTTTACGGTTTAGCAACCTTTTGTTGGTCATTTAAAGCCAGAAAATATTTTTAGAGGCTAAGAACTTTTTTGCAATAATAAGGATTTAGTGTACACGTTTTACTAATTAAAAATATCTGGCAGGGAGAGGAGGCGAAGTCATTACTTTCCCAAGTGTATTTGTTTGTAAATGAATATAACGTACCCAATTGGAATTTAATAATTCTGAGCCATTATCCATTACACCACCCGCACATCCTGATACCAGCACCTGGTATTCCCAAGCGGTCACTCGGCTCGGTACTGACCAGCTTCGACGTTGATAGCACGAGAACCGGTGTTTCAACGTTATGTCACCGTAAGCCCTGGAGTATTTGGCACACACTGGATATATATATATATATATAGAAGGCAAAAGGACATGGGGAAGTAACAGACCACCCTCCTGAATATCGTGTTCGAATGAATAGTGGAACAGGGTGTGAGATGAATGGTAAAAAAAGACCATTGTTGCTGAGAGCTTCAGAGGATAGGAAGTTGTGGTGAGCCATGATCACTCGGGACCTGAAGGCACACAACACAAAAAGAAGAAGAAGAAGAAGAAGAAGAAGAAGAAGAAGAAGAAGAAGAAGAAGAAAAATAGAGAAAGCAGAAGGAGGAGAGGAAGAAGAAAGTGAAGATGAAGAATAGAGAGAAGAAGAAAGAAGAAAAGAGAGAAGAAGAAGAAGAAGAAGAAGACACACTCGTATGATATTTCATTTTCTTTCTTTTTTTTTTGGTCTCGTGTCAGAACTATTTGGACAGATTTAAAAGTAATCTTCGCCGAAAAGCAAGTGGAATTGGTAAGGCGTCTTTTTCTGTCACGACAACACCGGACTTCCCTTCTCCTTACAGACCAGGAAGAAATTGGTACAGCTCGGTTATTTTAATGTTTTCCGCATTTCGACCAGTAGATAACGACTGACACTGCATTTAAATTTTTGAAGATCAATGTTGGCTGGAAAGCATGAAGCCGGAAGAGAGTTCCACAAGCGAAAAGTACGAATAAAAAAACTGTTAACACAGACCTAAGGTTACATCTAGCCAATTCAAGCCTGGATTGGGGAGACCTTGCCGAATAACTCGTGCTGCGCTTAAATTCATAAAGTCTAGGTACCATAGCAAAGAACTCATCCGAACAATTACCATGAAAGTATTTATAGAAAAAGCCCAGAGAAGCTATATTATGTGGGTGGGAACGTGACTGAAGCCGAGACGCCAGGTCAGGACTAATAATATTGCCGATTCTTCGTTGGATTTACAGATATCAAGATATACAGCAGGGGCACCGAACAACATATGGCAGCAATATCCAAGGCATGGAGAAAAAATAGACCTATAAATATGTAAGGTGTCTTGATGTGGGTGCATTTTTAAATCTTTCGTACGACGGCCGAGTCCAAAATTGTAGTGAAATATTCTCTCTCACAAAAGAGATTTTCAATAAATCTACCCCAGTGAGCAAAATAAACCCTTTATTTTGCTCACTGGGGTAGACTGTTTTAGTTCCACGTGCCATAGATGTCAGTTATCAGTTACCTCCTGTTAATTCCCCTGTCTAAGTTCTCCACTGCCTTGACCAGGTATTGAACCCACACTCTTTGGATCCTGTCACTGGATCTAACTAACGCCTTTATCCACTGTGCCCTGTGTCTTCAAATAAAGGTTTCAGTTCGACATTCCAACCACCTGAAGAAGACCGGAGCGTACAACGGCTGAAACGTTGTAATAAATATGGTGACAAAGATGAGGACAATAGTCCGAATAATATAAATAGTGTACATAATACCTCATCTCAGATATATAGAGAGATAGCGAAAGTTAGTGGAATAAAATGTTTTATATATCGTTAAACCTCTCACCATACAACTATCTTTTGTGATGTCAGCGAGCACTCATTGACACTTTTGTGGTGTTAACGTATACCCGTTGTCACTTTCGTAATTCTCGTTGTAGTAGAGACTTTGTAATCGCAGTTACAACTATAATAATTCTTCTCAAATAGTAATCACTGAATTGTGGCATATATATATATATATATATATATATATATATATATATATATATATATATATATATCAAAGTGTAGGAGAACGAACAGTAGGATTACAGCGTTCAAAATATTAATTTCAAAATAGTGCCGTAAATATTTATAGTAAAGCCGTAAATATTTATTTATCTTATGCAGTGGTACATTATAGCATGCACACATCCACTACAAAATTGTACAATCCCCACTAGAAGAGACGTTTCAAAAAAGTTTTCCCTCTTTTTATTGACGTTGAAACAAAAATGTACAATTTTGTAATGGATGTGTGCATGCCCTAATGTAGCACTGCATAAGATATATATATATATATATATATATATATATATAGAAAGAACAGTAAGATATATAATCCGGTGTTATTGATATTTTTTCCTTTTCTTTTTACAAAACAGAGCATAAATATTATAAATTAAATATATCTTAACTGACCATATTTTAATTCAGTTAATTTATAATACACACACACACACACACACACACACACACACACACACACACATATATATATATATATATATATATATATATATATATATATATATATGTTATGGTCCAGGTCCTTGTACCATGGTGATGGTCCAAGGTAGAACCAATAAAGAAGACCTCGAACACGGATATGGAATAACACAGATATATTACAAACAGGAATATATACAGAGAAGTAGAAAGTGTTAGTACGAACAATCAGGTTTAGTAGAGAGAAAAATGTAGTCTCGACCCGTATCAATATTCCAATGTCTTGTAGTAATTGTCTGAACGCGACTCTGTTTCGGACTGCCTCTGACTCGACTGACTGACTCGCTCGCTCTGACTGACTGACAGACTCCCGACGGACTTCACTCCAGACTTCAGACTGAACAGTATTTAGTCACCCCTCACGAGGGCATCATGTGGCACAAGGCCGGTTTAACGTGGGATCTCCGAGCCCGTGGGCTCGGCCAAAAATATGCCCTTAGAACCCCTATAAACGGGTTCAGGGTCGGTTTATCTCCCCGAAATAGACTCCTCCCTTCGGCGTAGCCTCGTTCGGGTTCCTCCCCGCCCGAAGGCAGAGATTTCAACCGATCAGCCGGTCAGCCGGTCGCCCGACTTCAGGCTGAACTCCTTGCTTCCTCTTGAGGCGCAGTATTTATTACGTAATTGGCCATACATCCTTGTACTAAAATACATTAAAAATCTTCCAATATATGTCTATGACTGGGTGTGTGTTTGTGTATATATGTGTACGTTTATACATAAAAAATAACTCTAATTTCAGTGGATTGATTTAAAATCCAATAACACCAAAAAGTTGTAATACATATATATATATATATATATATATATAAACAAACAAGCAGACAGACACTCTCTTGAGTCTGGCCATTTGAGGTGATAAGGTAATCTAATTAAATTTGATTTATGTTTCCCATTCATCATCAGAGATCCTAATTTTTGTGATGTCGACGAACACTCGCAGTAGAGACTTCGTAATCGCAGACCGATTATAGTACACCGGTGTCAGAAACCTTCGAGTAACACTCGCCTTATTAGTACTTGCTCGAGAATACCTGCTCGAATATGTAACCACCGTATAGTGATCCGAATAGAGAAATAGTATAGTAAATAGTATAGAGGATAACGACCCGTAGTAATAGAGGATAGACTAGAAATAGCGATCATTTAGAAGTTACGCAACTTCTTACACATATGCGTTTTCTCTATGGTCGCGTGGGTTACTTAATTCAATAATGGGATCGCATGTGTTTGATCACTGGCGATCTAGGTTCAAACTCAAGTGTCGGCAGCGACACTTTATTCCTATATAGCACGATCTAAATACTGTCTTCGAAATTTTATTTCGTTCCGACCGAAACTTTCCGGATATGAATAAAAACACACACACACACATACACACACACACACAAAAAAAAAGAGAAAAAAAAGAAATGATAACTGCCAATTAATATTAGCAAAAACACTTATTCTATTTCCTATCCAATATAAGTTATTAAAATTACGATGCTCACATTATTTATATATGCTTGTTAATGTTTACCAATCAGCTTTCGTGAACTTGACACGCCTCGTAACTATTGCCGTGGAAAGCGATGTCAAGTGGTGCTATAAACTGTGTCCAGAGGCGAACCACTCAGAGACAATTAACATGTTATATATGTTAGGGACACATCGGACGAGATGCGGTGGGTGGGGTGATGGTTGTAGAAGAAATATCGGTTGAGGAATTTTATAAACGAGGGAGAAACTAACTCCATGTATCACATGCGCTGCGTTCTTTCGGCATCACATGCTTACCCGTGTGTCACATGTCTTCTTTTTTTTTTTTTCATCTAGGACCGTCTACATGGATACTGTAAGGGCATAAAGTGTAGCGTGTTGGGCTCAGGGGTCGGTGTTAGAAGACACATGTTCAAAACAGTGATTTTTCTGGCTTTTGTTTATTTATTTGGGAGGGATTGCATGCATCAAAACACATGCACGTCTCTCGTTCCATTCAAATCTACCTTAAAATATTTTTTATCTATCTATCTATCTATCTATCTATCTATCTATCTATCTATCTATCAGCCGCTTTCGATATCTGTCTGTCAATCTCAGTTTGTTTTTATCTATCTCTAAACGTTGTTAAGCCGTAAAAAAGAAAATCTATCTATCTGAAGGTTGATAAAATGTAAAAAAAGCAAATCTATCTAATTAATCTGCAACTATCTATCTATCTATCTATCTATCTATCTATCTATCTATCTATCAGTCGCTTTCGATATCTGTCTGTAAATCTCCGTTTGTTTTTATCTATCTAAACGTTGTTAAGCCGTAAAAAAGAAAATCTATCTATCTGAAGGTTGATAAAATGTAAAAAAGCAAATTTATCTAATTAATCTGTATCTATCTATCTATCTATCTATCTATCTATCTATCTATCTATCAGCCGCTTTCGATATCTGTCTGTCAATATCAGTTTGTTTTTATCTATCTAAACGTTGTTAAGCCGTAAAAAAGAAAATCTATTTATCTGAATGTTGATAAAATCTAAAAAAGCAAATCTATCTATCTATCTATCTATCTATCTATCTATCTATCTGTGTCACTTCATTATCTATCTATCAATTTTCGTCCCTTTATTTCGCGAGTGTAAATTTAGCAGAATTTGTCTCAATCACAAACGGCTCTCCCTCGTCACACAGGAGACAACTGGAATAGGCCTTAGGCGTTATAAAGTTGGCGGGAGGTGCACATTACAGCGTCCATCCTTTATACTAAGGATTCAGTAATAGAATCCCTGCGTAGTGGAATGTTGGCAGTATGGCCCGGTGAAGTAAAAAAGGAAATCTAAATCTATCTATCTATCTATCTATCTATCTATCTATCTATCTATCTATCTCAGTCTGTCCATTATCTATCTATCTATCTATCTATCTATCTATCTATCTATCTATCTATCTATCTCTGCCTTTCGACATTGTCTATCAATCTCAGTTTGTTTCTATCGAAAGGTTGATAAGCCGTCAAAAAGATAATCTTTCTATTTATCTGAATGCTGATAAACCGTAAAAAAGCAAATCAATCCGCATCTATCTATCTATCTATCTATCTATCTATCTATCTATCCTAATTAATATCTATCTATCTATCTATCTATCTATCTATCTATCTATCTATCTATCTATCTATCTATGTCTTCTTGTCTGTCTGTCTGTCTGTCAAGCCTAATATATTTGTTTCTATCTATCTATCTATCTATCTATCTATCTATCTATCTATCTTAACCTGTACATTATCTATCTATCTATCTATCTATCTATGACTGCCTGTCATATACCTTGCCGTTTACATCTAAATGTTTTTACTCTGTTACTCTCTTTGTCTCTTATCTATCTATATATCTCTCTTCTTCTCTTTCCCTCTCTTTTTCTATTCCCTCAATCAAGCGCCCCATTTTTCTTCCTTTGAGTTTATCAATCTTTATCCCTCTTTATTCTAACTCTAATCAATTGTATCATTGTAATTTTCACTTTTTATTTCGACAGAATTATGCATGTTAAATCGCATCAAGGAAAAAAAAAATTACCGGCTCTAGTGTTGTATTTGCTGCGTTGTAAACGTATACAATCAATGTCAGTAACATCAAGCTACCACGTGATCTAACCTTGAATATAAACGCGGGAAAACAACAACGAAAAAAAAAAAAAAAACTACAAAAATCGGAAACTGGTTGCCTCATAGTGTGTTTCGCGGTGCATCTCAACCACCGTTGGTCGAGTCGTACAAGAAAGTTACGTTATCCTTCTATATGCAGTGCAACGATATCACGTGGTCGTTTTAACGCCCATCGAACAAACATGGGTGTGACATTCTCTCCGTCTCTCTCTCTCGTTCTTCTTTTTCTTTTCTTTTCTTTTCTTCTTTTTTTTTTTTCACGCTCTCTATGTAAGTTACATCTCAGCCTTCTATGAGAGATGTGTTAGATGCGTGAGAATGTTTTACGTGGTTAGTGATGAACTTTAACTAGGCTTTCAAGCTTTTCTTCTGTTTAATTCAGGGTGGGCAGAAAGAAAGTGTGAAGTTTGTTTTATTTTACTTTTTAAATAAACATTAGAACCTTACAAATTCTTTACAGAAGTAAATTTGGCGGCGATGTGACGTTTTTAAAGCGAAATAAAATGAAGAAGACAGGGCGTGTTCCGAATTAAATCAGAGAACACGGGCATTTTATAATTCAATTACATATCTATCTATCTATCTATCTATCTATCTATCTATCTATTTTGATATGTACCTGTCAATCATAGTATGATTCTATCTATCTATCTATCTATCTATCTATCTATCTATCTATCTATCTATCTATCTCTTTTGATATGTACCTGTCGATCATAATCTATCTATCTATCTATCTCTTTTGATATGTACCTGTCGATCATAATCTATCTATCTATCTATCTATCTCTTTTGATATGTACCTGTCGATCATAATCTATCTATCTATCTATCTATCTATCTATATATATATATATATATATATATATATATATATATATATATATCTTTTGATATGTACCTGTCGATCCTAATATCTATCTATCTATCTATCTATCTATCTATCTATCTATCTATCTCTTTTGATATGTACCTGTCGATCCTAATATGAATCTATCTATCTATCTATCTATCTATCTATCTATCTATCTATCTATACCCATGTATATGATTGGTGTATACGGAATAAATTCCAATAACCTACCAAATTTGATAAGACACCGGAGGTGTTGAAACAAAATGACTATTTTTGTAGTGATTTTATAACATATTTATGTTATGTTATAATTTTTAAATAAATAATTATATATATATATATATATATATATATATATATATATCTTCGGTTATAAGTCTGTCACTCCCAATGTTTTTCTATCTATCTATCTATCTATCTATCTATCTATCTATCTATGTAGCTTTATCCATTACTTTTCTTTCAATTAGGTATTTAAAAAAATATATGCATTAACCGCAATACTTTAAGTATTTACGGTCACGATTGAGTGTATTCGATTCCTAACAATCGATCGACCAAAGAGGATTAATAAGAGATTATCTTAGAACAGTTAGTAGCCGAAGTTTGATCTGAAACTTTCACTGTATAATGTTCGACCTCTTTTACAATACTGACCACAGAAGAGTGAAATGCACAGAAAAGAAAAAAATTCAAATACATAATTTTTCTTAAGGGAAGGAGGTTTTTTTTTTTTTGTTTTCATTGAATATGGACATATTGGTGTGTGCGTGTGGGTGTGGAAGTGAGCGAGCAAAAGAATTATTGTCTGAGGTGTAAGGGAGATAACACACACACACACACACATACACACGCATATATATATATATATATATATATATATATATATGTGTATACAAAAAAAATAATGGATTTGGAGGCCAAAATCCAGCGACATCAGTGTCTTTGGTTTTATGTTTGCATTCAAGCATGAAAAAGGCCGCTGAGTGTTGACCTTCATGTCCAATTTTATATTTACATCCACACTATACCTGATATTGGTTGGGCACTTTAACTTTAAATAAAGCATAACTTAGAACTATATTTTCATCATATAGATAGATAGATAGATAGATAGATAGATAGATAATGAATCGGTATAGATATATAGATAATGACCAGGTTTAGATAAATAGATAGATCTATAATGAACAGGTTTAGATAAATAGATAGATAGATAATGAACAGGTTTAGATAGATAGATAGATAGATAGATAGATAGATAGATAATGACCAGGTTTAGATAAATAGATAGATCGATAATGAACAGGTTTAGATAAATAGATAGATAGATAGATAATGAACAGGTTTAGATAGATAGATAGATAGATAATGAGCAGGATTAGATAAATAGATAGATAGATAATGAACAGGTTTAGATAGATAGATAGATAATGATTGGTTTAGATAAATAGATAGATCGATAATGAACAGGTTTAGATAAATAGATAGATAGATAGATTGATTGATTGATTGATTGATTGATTTTCGTCTAAATTACGCAAAAAAGAAAGTAACACTGACATCTTTTTTTAACTGATATATTTAACAAAATTGCATAAAAATGTCTTGAAATACAAAAGAGTAAATTTATTCAATAAAATCGCTATTGGCTTCAACCACGGCCTCCGGACGATTTCGGAAACATTTCTGGATAGTCTCCTTGTTTAAGTTGTTGAATGTCGCCATAATCCTTGCCTTCAGTTCATCTTTGGTGTTACAAAGAGTTTTGTTCGTCTCTCGTTCAACTGCGTCCCCATACATAATAATCAAGGGGGTTGCAGTCTGGGTAGTTAGGTGGCCAGGTGTTGGTGATGTTGTTACAGAGTTTGTTTGACAGCCATAGCTGTGTTCTCCTGATTGTATGTCATGGTAATAGAGTCCTGTTGCTAGACATGGGGTCTTCCAGCAGCCACCCTCTTGACCCAGGGCAGCATTACTTCCTCAATGCACTTGATGTAGGCCTCTGTGTTGAGTCTGAGGATTTCATCAATAAATTTCGGAGTTCTTTTCTCATCAGAACGACCAGAGTAAGTTTTCCGACCTGATGTACCTTCGTAATCACAATTACGCTCATCCAACTCTTTCCGAATCCTCTGCACTGTTCTCAGATTGTCACCCAAGCACTCGGAAATGTTCGTATTGGAGCTTGTCGGTACACTTTTCCTCACAGACATTGCCCAACCGACCCTACTAACTGTGCAGTTTACAAAATCAAAAACGAACAAAGCGCATGTGTGAAATTAAAAAAAAATATAAAATAGTGATAATTTACCCATCGCACTGTGTGTCTGTATCTATCTATCTATCTATCTATCTATGTGAATGTGTGTGTCTGTGCATGTGTAAATATAAAGATGGTCACTAAAGTCAAAACCGAGTGGCGACAGTCTATTTAATATTTGAACGCACTCTTCATGGCCTGAAGATTCCATTCAAGTATGAAATAGACTGTTGCAATTCATTCGTTCATCAGTGTGTGTGTGTGTCTGTGTGTGTGTCTGTGTGTGTGTGTGTGTGTCTGTGTCTGTGTGTGTGTCTGTGTTGGAGGTAAAATGTAAGACAAAGTGGAAAAACGTTTTCGCGTGTCGCATTTCACCATTTACGACCTTGTTATTCAGGTGCGACTATATACATATTTACTTAAATATTTGTATCTATAAAAAAGAATGTATAAACATATATATATATTTATATATATATATATATATATATATATATATATATATATGTAATGCCCTAAATGTCGTCAGCTAGATGAAGGAGATATAACATAAATGTTTTTGACATTTGGTACAATTTTGGAACGTGTGCTGAGCCGAGAAATTCAAGGCTCCAATTTGTATATATATAACAGAAAGTTGACGCCACAGAACATATAAACAGATTTAAAAATGCGCCAGAAGTATAAGTTGGTAAATATGAAATTAACCAAGAAAATACAACAATTCGCACTGCGAGAAAATAGAAGAAAGAGAAAAAAGGAACCACGACTATAATACAAATTTATTAATAATGATTATCAATAAAACGAGAGGGGAAAAGCGGGAAAATATACGAGCCAAAGGTTTAATGTATATCGTGCCAAGTATATACTGTAAACAGCTCATTGACTTCCCTTCACAAAGAGAGAAAGAGCGAAAAAAATGCTTGTTTCGGCCGGTAAAGAGACGGTTGATGTAACTTAATGTAGACCACTTCCAATAAAAGATATGCTAAGTGGACGCAGGAACGTGTTATCCAACCCGGGTATTAAGTCGCTGATTGGTTCGTCCTCCACAGTTAACCTAGCAATGACATTTAAATCTATCTATCTATCTATCTATCTATCTATCTATCTATCTATCTATGTCCTTTTTGTATCTATCTATCTATCTATCTATCTATCTATCTATCTATGTCCTTTTCATATCTATCTCCTATCTATCTATCTATCTATCTATCTATCTATCTATCTATCTATCTCAGTCCTTTTCGTATCTATCTATCTATCTATCTATCTATCTATCTATCTATCTATCTATGTAGTCATCCTCAGACAGCCTGTTTCGTTGTATCACAGCTAATCAGTGCGGCTAGACATTTGATTACTTCAGGTTGGGGTCGAAACTCGACCAACCGATTTTACACTTAGGCTGTCGGCGCAAGGCAGAGAAGGGGATTTTAAAGCATTATATATGTGCTATATAAAGATAATACTAGCCGCCAGAGGGATGAATTCGTGCGAAGAGTGATGCATTAAAGCAGCAGCCGTTAAAAATTCTCAGAAGTAGTACCAGGTATGAGTTTATGGCCAGAGCCGTTCGTTGTCTGTAATTAAATTTCAACTAAATTTCGGTTACTATGGTGTGTTCCGTATGATAGCAACAAGTGTGTTTTTTTTCCAGAGATTTACAGTAAATAGTATTTAAGCGACAAGAGTTCAATGTTATTAATAAGTTATTGGGGGAATTTAACCTTAGGACAAATTAAATTTAGGTCAGTCAGTTGACTGATGGATTCATAAATTGTGCGTAATACCGGGACATTTAATGGATTAGATCATGTTATTAAGCACATATACACCCACATGTATCCACATACACGTGTCTGTGCGTTTACATATACATACACTTATGTGTACCCACATATATGCATATAAGTAACCATACGCACATACACGCCACCATACATGCATATACATATATCCATTTTGAATCTGTTACGTCTACATTTCGTAATTTAGCTCACTGTGGGTTGGTTTTAATATTTGTTATTCCTAGGATCCACCTGGATTATATACCAACGAACCTATTATCTGTACTATATATATATATATATATATAAGTGAACATTGAACTCAACACTCAACAATCGTCAGGCCATGAGAGTTGTTTTTTTCCCGATTGCGTCTAGCATAAAACAGCCTGACGCCTCTAAGTGTTGACTTCAATATTCTCTGATATTGAGCACTTTATTCCATAAATATAGCACACCTTAAGACTACATTTCTTCATATATTATATATATAATAAACAGTATTAATAACTTTTACAGGCCTGAATGTCAGAGAAATTTCATAGAAAATATTCGTTCTCCGACAGGAATCGAACCTGTATCCCATACGGAACCGTCATTTAGCCTGACGTGCCTTAACCGATTGGGACACAGAAGAAAATTTCTCGGACATTCAGGCCGGTAAATGTTGTTTAATACTGTTTATTATAAAACACAGCATTTACTTAAATATTTGTATCTATAAAAGAATGTATAAACAGAAAGATGTCTTAAAATAATTGTCAGACTTTGTCCATTTCATAATGTGTGATGTCATATATATATATATATATATATATATATATATATATATAT